GCAAGGCTGAGAGCCGAAGTTGTCTACAAACACCAGTTAAGTAAAAGGCAGTTTGTCTATACAGCCACTTAGCAAAACAGTAGATTTCTGCCGAGTGAGAGACCTTTTTTCTTTTCTTTATTTTTTTCTCCTTTGTTGAACACTACTAAACATTTCAGAATGCACCTTACTGTTCTATAACAAGGTAAAAATAATGAAGTTAATACATTATAAATTAGCATAATACCTCACAATGTCATTCTGATAGATTTAGTGGCTAAAATACATCACAATCTGCTACAAAAATGGTTCTTAAGAATTTAAATGCCAGGTTACCACATCATTATCACATTTCCTAAGTGAAGAACACTTAGGAAGTTTGAGCGTGTGAGGATGGCACAGCGGGCGGGCGTGTTTTCACTTCCCTCAGGCTGCAAACAGACCCCTTGTTTCTTGGCTCTCTGGCACTGCAATGGTTAATCCACTGCTGCCAAGAGAGCTGGGTGCTAGGCCAGCCACACCAGGTCAGATGACTTCTGCTAAGGAGCTCTGAGCTTCAGAGGAAGGAAAGCATTTTGCACTTTTGTTATAGGAAGTTCTGAATGGTGCTATGTGGAGGAAAGGACAGACAAGAAACAAAGCCCTGGTAAACCAAGGTGTTCTGCTAAGCCCTCGGTAGATAGAGCATTGACATAAATCCAATCAGGTAGCTGTGCACAGAGGGACATTGTTTTCTGAGTCTACACATTCTCTACATAAGACAAAACAGTTCGGAACAGAGACTGGGATATCTCCTAAAGCAGGACTCAGCTCCCCATTGAAACCAGATAATATGCTAGGGACATCGTCCGGTCCAAAATCCTGAAAAAGTCTTAAGAGCTATTTTCTAATAGTGTTGTGAGGCGGGCTTCACCCTGTGCCCCTGGCTGGCCAGGAACTCACTCTGTGAACCAGGGTGGCCCTAAACTGGTGGTAATCCCCCTGACTCTGCTTCCTGAGTATGAGGACTGTAGGCACAGCTACCATGGTTTCCTTTTTGTTTGTTTCTTGAAGTAAAGTTGTACAGTGGTGTTTACATTAATGACCATATATATGTAGGGCACAGCTTATTTTGAGAATAAGCAATGAAGGCTTGGGATTTAGAGAGTCATATCCTCTGCTGTTTAAGGAACTATGTAGGTGGAGTTTTCTTTCCCAGCCACTGGTCCCAAAAGAAACAACACAGAGCAGAACTATACTGAACATCGTATTCCCCCAGTGTTTGACTCTTGGGTTCTTGGTTCATTCAGTGAATAGATACAGTATCAGTGAGTCTTTGTATTATTAATAGGTGAATACTTCCTACTCATGACATTTTTGGAGAATATTTTGGCAGGACTTTATAATCCCTCAAATGCTAAATTTGATTTCCAGGTTGATTTTATATAGAGTTTTCTGAAGTCAGCATTTGTAATATAAAAAGAATGACTTTTCGAATGGTGCTTATTTATAAGGTGTTTACACCCAGAGAAGTATGCAGGTTCCAGAAAATAAAGACCATATTGCAACAGCCTTTATACTATTCTTCACTACATCTTATTTTTAAAAGGAATACACAATTCCTCATCAGTTTGCAATCATGTATGTTACTATCCTATTCTCTTAAAACAGAAATCACTTTATGAAATAGAGAAAATAAAATAAAATGAGAATTAATTTTGATCGGGGTTAATTGCTCTCTTTATAAAAATTGAAAGCAGGTTGGTTTTCTGATATTGGTTCCCTCCCACCCACTCACTCCCACTGGCTGGTTTTGTGTGTCAACTTACTTGACACAAGCTAAAATCATCAGAGGAAGGAGCCTCAGTTGAGGAAATGCCTCAATGAAATCTAGCTTAACATATTTCTCATTTGGTAATCAATGGGGGAGGCACAGTCCATGATGGGTGGTGCCATCCCTGGGCTTCTGGTTCTGGGTTTTAAAAGAAATGGGTTGAGCAAGCCATGGGAAGTAAGCAGCTCCGCTCCATGGCCTCTGCATCAGTCCCTGCCTCTGGGATCCTGCCCTGTTTGAGTTCCTGCGCTGACTTCCTTCAGTGATGAACAGCAATACTGAAGTGTAAGCCAAATAAACTCTTTCCTCCCCAGCTTGCTTTTTGGTCATGGTGTTTCTTCACAGCAATAGAAATCCTAGCTAAGACAAATTGGTACAAGTGTGTTTGGTTACAACACCCAGCTCACCCATGCATGATCCAGAAATCCCTATTCCTGTCTCTGCAAATCCCTCCCACTCAGAGTCTCTAAACAAAGGAAAGGTGCCAAAAAGCCCAGTTCCACATTCTTGGAGGCTACTACAACTTTCTTCCTGAATTTGCCACCCAAGTCTCTGCCTAAAGTGCTGAGCTTTTGGCTATACTTGGGCACAAACCTAGCTTGTATCTCATCATCACGCCTCACCTACAACTTATAAAATATCCCTGCTTTTGTTTATGGGTCTAACTTCTCTGGCCTCAATCTCTGGGACTAGAGAACCTGCCTGGGATTGCATTGCTCAATAAACCTGTAATTACACTTTTCAATTTGGCTTCATCTGGCAGAGAAACCTATTATGGGGGGAGGGGTAGAAAACCTATTACAGAGTGGTGGAGCATTGCTGTGACAGACTTGACCAAGTTTTGGGGAGGATTGTGGAAGGACTTTGGAACTTTGGGCTAGAAAACATTGAGTTTTGAGACCTAAGTGTCATGTTCTGTGGGAACTTGAGAGATAAGAGTATTGAGATAAGTGCAGAGGGTGGAGGCCTGACTTGCAAAGGTTCTCGAGGAAGTTTAAAGACTCTATCAGGGCCATCTGTCATTTTGAACTAAGATCCCGTGATTCTGGTGAGCTGGGGCTGAAGAATCAACTGTGATTAACAGATACCAGAACTACTAAAGCAAAATTTTGGTTGGCTGGGATACTTGATGCTGGTTGGCGGGAGCTGAGAAATTAGTGGTGATGAAGAAGGGACCAGTGTCACTGAGGTGAAATCTTCTGGGAAGTGTTTCCTGAGAGTACAGAGAAGCTGTTTTCCAGAGGTGACCAAGGTTGTACCTCATGCTGGCAGCCAGACCTGGTAAAGTGTAAGCGTCACCCAGATGGAGAGCAGCTGAGGCCTGGCACTGAGAGAGGCCAGGGGAAGTCACTGGTGAAGATGCAGTTTCAGTGGCACCTGAAGGCCCAGGAGTGAAGGGGTCGTGCAGAGAAGTTGAGGCTTTAGACCATGACAAGAACCTATGTGCAGCAAGGGACCCCAGCATTTTGGAGATGCCAGTAGCATAGAAAGACCACCAAGAACAGCAGCAGCAGTGGAGTGGAGCCAGCTGGAGCCCAGAAGATCAACTGTGTTGCAGAGGGCAGAGCTGGAGAAGTGACCCAAGCCTTTTGGAGGAGCCCAGAAGATCATGAATAATGATAAACAACCCAGATAATTGGACATTGTGTTTTTTATGCTGTTGGAGTTTTGTTTTGCTTGGTTCAGATTGTGACAGTGTCCTGGTTCTTCCCAACTGAAGAAGGTTTTTAGTTTTGATTTTTAAAGAAGCCCACAGATGAAAGACTTGAACTTTTAAAAGAGATTGGTATTTTAAAGAGACTGGAATTTTAAAGTGTAAAGACTTATAAAATTATGGTTTTAATGTGAGACCTTGAGGAAAATGAGAAAGGAAGGGGCATAACTTAATAGTGATGTGTTTGTGTGTCAAGTTGACCAGGGGTCTATTATACTGGTTGGTTTTATCTGTCAACTTGACACAACTAGAGGCATCAGAGAGGAAGGAGCCTCAGTTGAGGAAATGCCTGATGAGATCCAGCTGTAGGGCATTTCCTCAATTAGTGATCAGTGGGGGAGGGCCCAGCCTATGGTGGGTGGTGCCATCTCCCAGCTGCTTGTCCTGGAGTCTGTACGAAGGTGGGTTGTGCAAGCCAGGAGAAGCAAGCCAGTAAGCAGCACCCTTCCTTTACCTCTGCATCAGCCCCTGCCTCTGGGATTCTGCTTCGAGTTCCTGTCTTGACTTCCTTCAGTGATGGACAGCAATAGTGAAGTGTAAGCCTAATAAACCCTTTCTCCCCTCATGGGGTTTCATCACAGCAATAGAAACCCTAAGACACCCCCAACTCCTCCCAGATTCTCTCCACCCCCACCTACCCGAATTCACATTCTTTCTTACTTTATCTCATTAGAAAACAAGCAGGTATCTAAAGAAGGAGGAGGGAGATGATGAAAGAAGAAAAAGGAGTATTAATAAAATAAGATAAACTAAAAACTAGCAAACCGTAATAGGACAAAGCAAACAAATGAACAGAAAAAGAGTCAAACAAAAAGCAAAAATAACATGTATAGACAGAGACACACGTTGACATGACACTCAGAAATCCCCTAAAAACATAAAATATAAAACCATAATACATAAGCAAAAGACCTGTAGGATAAGGAACAACAACAAAAACAAAAGCAAACAAGAAAAAAAAACCCACCCAGATAAAGTATTATGAGAACCCCCCCCCCAAAAAAAAAGCATTATTTAGTTCTTGCCCTGCTCCCAACTGTGGTAACAGAACCTAACCCTCAGTCTCATGCATGCAAGGCCAGAATGGCCAACAGAACTGTATCCTTAGCCCTATTTAGATGATCCTTTACAAGTGTCATGCCTACCAGGGTTAGGGAGATGTCGAGGTGGGTAAAGTGTTTGCTGTAGAAGCTCGAGACACCACATAAAAGCTGTGTGCTGTCTGTAATACCAGAGCTGAGAAGAGTGGAGCAGAGACAGGCACTTCCTAAGGGCTCAGAGGACAGTCAGTCTAGCTGATATGGTGAGTCCTAGGTTCAATGACACCCCGTCCCCCAAAATAAAGTGAAAGAGTGATAGACACCTAAACTTGATCTCTGGCCTCCACAGTCCCACACATGGGCAATTGTACCCCCAATACTTGAGCACACATACACTTACTTATAATCACAGAAATTAAAAAAATTCAAATGATACATAAAATCATGAGACGCATTTAGTGTAAAATTCATTCTTTATGAAATAATAGGTAAGCATAGAGCTTTTGGTTATGGCCAAGTGATGAAGATGAGGAATTGTCTTTCAATAGCACATTTAAAGCTACTAAAATAGACAAGAATAATTTTAGCACTCTGAAAAGAAATAACATGCAGCAATCTGAGAAGTATTTAGGTTGGAAAAGCTGCTGAGTGAACTTATTAAAAGTAAGAATCTATGACATTCTGGCCCAAAGCTACTCTCACACATTCCTCCTGCTATCTTAGTAAGGACAGGTTTTGCAGAAGTGGAACAAGCTGAGACTGGCAGCCTCTCTTCCTTAGGCATGTGAGACAGTGACTTCCTTCCCTTCAGCATCATTGACGGAAGTGATAATCTCTGAGGTGTCGAGCAGAGAACACAGCTGAAAGATACTGAAAAAGAGAAAAGCTAGTTCGTCATTTCCCATTCAGTCCTAGAGCTGTGTGCTGTGAGGCTGGAACACATTGGAGGAAAAACATGGACTTTCTATGTGTAACCTCCGTGACTGACACAGAGATCCATTGCAGCAGACAGAAGTTTCACTATCTCTAAGTTTTTTAGCTCAAACTTCGTGTAATTACTCAATGAACTCATGGGTAGGTGGATCCATGGAAAGGGTCTCTCACTGAAGCCGGAGCTGGCTGACTGGTTGCACCGCCTAGCCAGTGAGCACTGGTTCACTGCTCCAGGATTACAGATGTCCACCACTAGGCCTGGCTCTTTAAGTGCTGGGGATTTAACTCAAACCATGATCCTTGCACAGCAGACACTTTACAATTGAGCCTACTCCCCAGCTTTGTTTATTATTTATCAAACTAACTGTGATATTTACAAAGAAATGAGACGATTCAGTCCATATTGGATGGAGAAGGGGACTCAATAGAAACACTCTCTATTTGTTCCCAAAACTTAGATTTTTAAAAATTATTTAAAGAATTAGATATAGTGGCGCATACCCTTAATCCCAGCACTTGGGAGGCAGAGGCAGGCAGATCTCTGCGTTTGAGACCAGCCTGGTTTACAAGAGCTAGTTCCAGGACAGCCTCCAAAGCCACAGAGAAACCCTGTCTCAGAAAACAAAATAAATAAATAAATAAAAAATAAAGAACTAAAGATAACAAATTTAAGTATTTTACAAAACTGCTACTCTAAGAACCAACCAATGGAAACCCTCAATAAGGAGACAGATGCTGGGGTGGGATGGGGAATAACAACTATGAGCACAAATTTGAATTTAAAAACAAATGAAAAACTCACCAGAAGGGTTCAATCACAAATTCAAGATGACAAGGAATAACTGAGGAACTCAGGTGTAGATCAGCAGGAATTGCTGAACTGAAGACCAGGGAGACCGGTGGGACACTGCATATGCTGATATGTATACATCATGGGAGTTCAAGGGTAGTCAGGAGAGAGAAAAGAGCAGAAAAATAGTGTAAGAAATAGGATGGAGAATTTAACAACTTTGATTAGAAACATTAATTTGCACACACAAGAAACTCAAAGAGCAGCAGGTAGCTAATTAAACCCCCTGAAAATCCCCTGGGCATTTTGTGAGTGTCTCTCTCATTGGTCCCCTCATCTCTTTGGCTAGTCTGTGATTTCATTTCTCAAAGGGAGGAAAAATTTTTTCTTGGTGTGTTTTCAAATACCATGTAACTCAGATCTTCCTCTATGCTGCGGGTCTCAGGTAGAAATTTAATGCACTTTCAGACACCATCAGTAAAGGGACTCACAATTTACAGCTTGGCTTCTATGCCTCCCCTACCTGACTAATAACTTAAATAGCTCTGTGGATGTTTTCCTACCATGCTTGGTGTAGATTAGCCATTGTTCCATTGGTCAGTAGCAGTTGAACCAAGCAAGGATGAGCAGTAGCAGATCAAATCTCAGAGGCTTGACATTTCCTGTCCCTTGGCTTCCCTCCGAAGTGGCAGTGCTGCAGGCCAGTGTCTCCTTCCTGTTCATTTCTGGGATTTCATGACCTGCTCACCTGATGGTTCCGAGAGCAGTGATTAGCTCTTGATTTCCTTCTTTTAATCCATCCATAACTGTTTTTTATCAATTCTTTGTTAGTTAAATTTATTCTTTTATTTTACATCCTGACCAAAGTTTCCCCTCCCTCCTCTTCTCCCAATCTCTCCTACTACCCGCCCCCGCCCCCACCACTCCTCCTGTTTTCTGTTCAGAAGGGGCAGGCCTCCATGGGTATCAACAAAGCATGGTATATCAAGTTGCCTTAGGACTAAGCATTTCCCCTTGTACTAAGGCTGGGCAAGGTGACCCAATATGAGGAATAGATTCCCAAAAGCCAGCCGAAGCACCGTAATACAGTTTTTACAGTCCTAAGCACAGTGCACAGTTAATAACAATGAAAAAAAGATTTCATAGCTTTGTATGGCTGATAAAAATAAAACTTGAAATTCTTAGGAAAAGATTCCTCCCCCCCCAGCTGTATTTACCACTTTCCTTGACCAGCACAAATTTCAATTGTGAAAGAAATCTGGAGATTGTTTTCAATCCAACTGAAATAAACCACGAGGCATACATAAAAAAAGAAAAAAATGGCCAAGAGGAGGCTTTTTCTTGTGGGTGGAAACATGTCCCCTAACAACTTGTAAATGTTCTAAGAATTAACATTATGTAAGTTTTTGGAAGCCTAGAGTGGCCACATCAGCTCCAGGGGATGAAAAGTTCCGGACACGTGGCCATGGAATATGGCGAGCAGATGGACAGGCCGGGGGTGGAGCGGCTGCCCCCTGGACTGTTCCAGCAGTTCGAGGCTAGAAGATAAACTGACGTGATCTTCCCAACAGGAGCCTACTGCCCATAAACAGATACAGATGAACGGGACTTCTAGCACACTCGGAGGAGGCAAGCAGAGACTGGGGCAGGACTACAGGCGTGTTCCATTTAGTTGTTTGAAGCCATGGAAGAGCTTGCAGTTCCCCAGAGGATGTCTTCGCAAGCCCTCAGAGGTCCGGAGACCCCTGATGACAGGAATCTAGGGAGTTCTGACAAACCCGCAGTTGGTGGCTTTGTTTGTATACGCATGCCGTTTGTTGCGTGTACAGAGCTCAGCCAGAGAGTGGAAAGCACTCTGAACATTCTACAGCTTTGCTCATGGAATAAGCTGTGTGGAAGTTGCAAATCAGGTAACAAGCATCCTGCCGCTAGTTGGTGTGGGTCCAATTCTGTAGCTCAGCCTCCCTCTCTCAGTGTGTCCATTCAGTCTATGAATTGCAATGAGTTTTGAATACATAGCACTCAAATTCATGAAGGAAGGATAGTGACTCAAGATAAAGAGCAGGAACAGGAACTAGTCAGAACAGAAAATAGAGATACAAAAACAAAAACCTCTAGTTACAGCAAAGAAATTATCAAGTTTCTTCTCTCTGCTGTCAGTCCCTGTACCAGTCAGAATCAAAGCAACTGAAATTTCTGTCCTATTTTCTAAAGCCATAATCTTTTTAATTATCCCAAATTTCATATTACTTCCCCTTCTCTCAAACCCGCCAAGGGCACTATTACATGCAGAAATGCAAAGTCTAGGTAAGTCAGTGACTCAGGGGCAGCAGCTTATGTCATCACCAGACTCTGCTGGGTGTGGTGCATTTCCACCACCAAACCAGTAAGTTAGTAACATGCACACCCTTTAAAAGACTCCTCTGGCCCGGTAGTGGTGGCACACACCTTTAATCCCAGCACTCAGGAGCCTGGGGTAGGCAGATCTCTGTGAGTTCAAGACCAGCCTGGTCTACAAAGTAGTTCCAGGACAGTCAGATCTACACAAAGAAACCCTGTCTCAGACAACCAATAAATATAAATAAATAAATAAATAAATAAATAAGGAAAAGATTCCTCTGGACATCATGGCGCTCTCTCTCTCTCTCTCTCTCTCTCTCTCTCTCTCTCTCTCTGTCTTTTTCTGTCTTGTTCATTCTGTCTGTCTGTCTCTGTCTCCCTTCTCCCTGCCCCCGCAATAAACCTCTTGCTTTAGATGTATTTCGTCTCTTAGTAGCTCACCTTGGCCCCTCACCTGCCAAAGGTACCTTTTCGAAGTTTTATCCTAACAGCAAGATCAATATTTTCGAAAGAAAGGACAGGAACTTAATCTAAAATAAAAACCCAGATGTTTGAACACAGTGTAATTATAGGGACTGAAATTGATATTTTTTTCTTTAAAATGTGCCAGCAAAGTACACATATTACTCAGGTAGTAACGTAGTAACACTAGTTTTAAAATAATGCTTATTTGTCGCATAACATTTAGAAATTATGACTATTATGCTTAGATAAGCAAGACTTGCAAAAATTCACTCCAATATATTGTTTAACACTGTGGCTTGTATAACATTCTCGCATTCCACTCTAGACTATCTAGGTCAGAGAAAGCCTTTTCAAGAAAATTTAACATTACAAGACATATATTTTTAAAGTTCCTTTCTAAAGCAGTTTTATTTTATGGTATGATCAAATATAACCAGAATAAAAGTCTTCCCAGATTCTAAAGCAACTGATATCTGATTCTAAGTATATAGCAAAGACACTAAAATGGGAAGCATGATTCCAAGAGAGACACTTATACCTAGTGGTTGTTGAAGTTTACAGGAGGAATTATTTTAGTTTGGCACTGCATTTAGGTCCAGACTAAACCCAAATAGCCATCCATGGTAAGTGCTTGAAAGATCATACTGGACAATTCAGGAAGCAAGTAGATCCTCCAACAGTTGGGATTACCTGAAAACAGAGTCACAGTGGACAACCAGAAGGAGCCCAGCCTTCTACAGCCTGGTAAAGACATCCCTGATGCCATGACCTTCATGACCTTGGGGAGCCCTATTCTAGCCAATTGGCTTCTTTAAAAATATTATTATGATAATTCCTTGTTCCCACCTCACAAAAACCAAAGGCTCTGTCGTGCCCACTGCACACTGTTTCATTTTAAAGAAGAAGTAGTGGCCCTTGCTGGAGTCATAAAAAACTGATTAAACTAAACTTGTCAGAAATGGTCACTCCTTCTCAGAAGGAGTGCAGGCGGAAGGAAAGGAAGTAATTGCTTCCCAAAGAGCAATATCTTTTGTGGTATCTGGGCAGAGTGTGCATTAAGAGAACAACAAGAATAACCTCAGATGGAAAAAAGTAAGCCCACCTAACTGTAGGGGTGTGGGACACATTTCTTTTCTCTGCCCTTTAAAGAGTTAAATGGCAGGAAGGAAGTATTGCTGGAATTTTGGGGGTATCCCAGGAGAGCCATTGTATGATACCTCAGACACCAGGGTCTCCTCTTTGGAGTTCTTGGTCCCATCAATAAAAGATTTTAAGAACGGAAATAATCTGAAAGCTTGAGGGCAATTTATTAGAGTTTAAAAGGCAAACCTCAAGGCAGGCTAGCTGCAAATCTCACAGCTGCCAGGGAGGGAGAGGGAGAAGGGAGGAGACAAGGAAGAAAAGCTCTGAGGAAGAGATAATGCTGCAAGGAGGTCATCCCTGGGTATGCAGTCACTAAGCACCGAGGAATTCAGTTTAGAGACAGAGTAAGGACCCCAGTGCATAAGCTAGGGAGCTTAAAGGCATAGCTATGCATGCTCTGGCCAGCACCCTAAGGAAAAAGACAGAAGAGGGCAAAAGCACTAGTGATTCCTTTCTGAGTCAGGCCTCAGAAGGATGGACAGACACAGCCAAACCCCACGCTGGCTCTGAGGGACTTCGGTAGGAGGCAGGGATTCTGAGAAGGCAGAGTACATTATCTTAAGGTGAACCTGCTTTCTAGAGTAGTACCCTAGCCGGGTTCCTGACATCTTCCACCGACACCCCTGCCCAGGATTAACCCTTACAGGAGGAGGCAAGGGCCTGTCTCCACACGGAGGTTCTTTACCAGTTGTCTTTAATTTACTGGAAAGTAGCAGCAAGAGCTTTGACACTTTCTTTCTGTGGGTTGGTGTGAGAACCTACAAACTCCACATCAGGATGGTAAGGTCGAAAAGTGTAGTTATTCATCCAGTCCACAACTGTGTGTGAGGCTGAGGACATGAAGCCACAAAGTTAGGAGTTTGTCCTCAAGAACATTAGGATCTATCTACCAGTGGGGACAAATGTGCAAACAGACTAAAACAATGATCATTAAGTAAAAAGAATATGGAGAGAGAGAGAGAGAGAGAGAGAGAGAGAGAGAGAGAGAGACAGCTGAGATATGGATGAATATAGCAAAGAGGACAGAAGTATTTTGTAAATTGTTTCATTGTAAGAGGCAAAGAATCAAATAATGCAGTTCCAATGATATTTAAAAATTTATGGAAAGATAAATTTACAAACTAAAATAAAGTATATCTTTAAAGAATACAATTTTGTAAATTATTTGGGGAAAGATGCAGGGTCAAGAATGAGAAGAGCCTGCCTTAACTGAATTTTCTGCTTTAGTAGACCCTGGAATTTTTAAACATTTTAACTTTCCGCAGCCTTGCTCTCCTCATTTGTGAACTAGAAATTGTGTGCATCACTAAAAGCAGTTAGTACAGAAGCAACAGCCACAAAAGCAAGCAAATACATAAATGAAGGAAATCCCTGCAGAAGCAATGGGAAGCAGAAGGCAGCCTGCAAAGGTCACCATAGCAACCAGGAATAGACACTTTCTTGTTGCCCTATTTCAGCCAAGATAGACCTGCAGACCTAATTGTGAACTTCTAGCAACTTTGACAGGCGAAGGGTTTGACAGCTCTTCCCTGATTGGTCCTGGTTTTCACCTTATTTGCATAGACATATTCATTGTTCAGTCATCACCCCAATCCCTTTGTTTAATGAGTTTCCCCAGCTTAGAAGCCAGGACTGCTGCTTGACCAATAGAGGCAGCAGAAAAGGAAGGCTTCAAGACCCACGGTCCACCTGCAGGTTCTTCTTTTGCTCTGCTTGAAGAAGCCAGAAGAGTCTGAGCCTAGCAGCCAGCTGACTTGCTCATTAAAGGAGGAAGACTGACTGCCTTCACAACTGCTGAGG